TGTGCATTGCTACAGTGTTGGGGAGTGGTCCACGGGAGGAGAAGTTTGTGCTTGGGCTTTTCCAAGAAAGGCACTTGGGAAATATAATCTCCTTCATGGTGGGCTTCCCTGGAATGATGGCTTCTACCAGAGGCACCAACTTCTGGATAGAAGGCTGGGTGCTGAGTAAGAAGAAAGAACTTGGCTTGAGCCCCTCCACAATGTCCTATAGGCTGGCTCTGAACACAGGACATCACCATTAGCTTTTCCCTCCATTAACGGATTTCTCTTTTCCACCCCCATTTCCAAGTCAGGCTCCCCTCATGACTCACGCCCTTGGAGTGTTGGCTTGGGCCCACCCAGTCTGTCTGTTGCTACAACAGCCAGCAACACAATCCAAAAGCACCTCCCCTTACTCTGGGCACCCAGGCCAGCCACCTTTGTCTCACCCCTGCGTATCTGGCAAAGTGATTAGGGCAATGGAGGGGCCTTGTGGAAAGCAAGAAGGGAGGGTTCTGCTTGTTCCGATTTCCCATTTTCATTAAACAAAACCACCACTCCCAACAGGCTTGGTTTCCAGAGTTACCTTTAATGACCAGGTCTGAACAAAAGCATGCACGGATTCCCCAGCCCCTGCCAAGCACACAGAGCTAGCTCCCCAAGGCAGGAAGGCACCAGTCCAGGACAGAGGTAAAGAGGCCCTCAGGGAGGTTCCCACCTCTCACCCTGCTGCAGAAACTAAGACCTTCCAGCTTAGAAATGTCACTATAAGATTATAATCTGCTGGGCATGTTAATGCATGCCCTTCATCCCAGCACTCAGGAGGCAGAGGTAGGTGGATCTCTGTGAGTTCAAGGCCAGCCTGGTCTGCAGAGAGAGTTCCAGGACAGCCAGGGCTGTTACACAGAGAAAGAAACCCTGTCTAAGAAAAAAAAAATAATATAACTGAGCACCCATTATGCCCTTGGCATTTCATATTTGTTAGAGAGAAGGTCAAGTATTAGCCAGTCCGGGGTAGGAGCCTTTCTTGACTTAGTGCTAACCAGTTCTGTCTACACTAGGGCCCAGAAAGACACTGGAGTTGATTCAGAGACCTAAGATCTGCTTAGAGAGCGTATTTAGAGGAGATGACATTGTGGCATGGAAGATGTGTTATGAAGAAGAAATGAAGGAGGAGTTCTAAAAGCCCAAGGCCTCTGCTTTGGGTGTACTGAGACAGCAAGAAGGCAAGGCGCTTCCAAGAAAGCGCTTCCGGAGAGAAACAGAATTGACTCTCAGGAAGGTAGCAGGGCCTCTGCTATCAGGATGGCTCCAAAGAACCTCCTTACATAAACAATCATACATTGTATCTATAGTATTAGATTTTCATGAGAGAGATAGATGGGGGGAAAATCCACAAGGGTAAAACAAGCTGAGAAGCTTTGTGAGTGGAGTCAGCTAACATGTCCTCCCTTTGGGACTCTCTGAGCTGGCAGCTTTTGGGTGCCCCACCCAAGGTAGGATCTGGCAAACATAAGGGATCCCTCTGCAAAACATTTTCTAAAAGAAAATGAAAAAAAAAAAAAAGTAAGCGAAAATGTTTTCCTCAGCTGCAGGGAGTGGGTGAAGAGGGCACGGAACAACTCCCAGGCCTGGGCCTCATGAAGGCACCCCTACCCCCTCCAAAGAGGCTTTGAGCCAAGCTGGTCGGTCCCTGAGGGGTAGGGAGTGAGGGAGCGGGGAAGAGAGAACCAGAAGCCACGCCCAGTTTCATGCAGCTTCATGCCAAGCAGCCTTTGGGTGCAGCTCAAGTCGGGTGCTGGGCGAGCTACAACTTAGAAATCAAGGGATACAGTTCTGTGGTTGAACATTTGCTTAGCATGCAGGGAGTTCTGGGGTCCATCCACAGCACTGGGAGAGCAAAACATCCCCACCACCACCCAAGGAGGGGAGAACCCCCCTCTTTACCCTCCACCCCCACCACACAAACATTTGCCTGAGGACTGCAGAATACAAGCATTTTCCAACACTCATTGCCAGCCCATAATGGACAACAGCTTGAAAGGGCAGGCCATGAAGGCACTGACTTTCATCAAATGAAGAGCCAATAGGAACCAGGAGGAACACCCTGTGCCCAGGGGGGCCCATATCCCAGGAGATCCTAGATACTCCCACCAGCTGTTGGCTCTTCTGGGGTGGATCGGAGCCTAGGCTCTGGGTAATAGGGCAGTGGGCTGGGCATCTGCTCAAAGGCTGGGCGGTCAGACACTGTTTCAGGCTTCAGGTGAAAGGGCTCAGTCTCAGGCAGGAGGTCAAGAGGCACGATCTTGGGTGTGGCTGGGCCAGAGAGTGCATTCGGCTTCTTCTTGGGCTAAGATGAGGAAAAGGGGTTTAAATGGCATGTGGGATGGATGAAGGGAGGTTGACAGAAAGAGACCTCTGTGGGGTGCAGAGTGGGGTCTGGTTGAAGAGGGAGTGGCCCCGGAGTGAAGTAG